CCAACATTCTCCCTTCTGAAATCCGACACGCCATTTCGTCGGTAAAGAAACAAACAGCACCCGGCCCAGACAAGGTCAGACCTGAACACCCGAAGAACCTGCCGTCAGTACTCATCAATATACTGGCTCGGCTCTTCACTCGCTACCTGTCTGAATGCAAGGTTCCGTCCCAATGGAAAACCAGCAGGACCGTACTACTGTTCAAGAAGGGAGACATCCACAACATTGGCAACTATCGCCCGATCTGCCTATTGTCTGTCATCTACAAGTTGTTCACTCGAGTCATCCTAAATAGGATTGGCAGAACACTAGATGAAAGACAACCATGCGAGCAAGCAGGGTTCCGCAAAGGATTCAGCACCATCGACCATATCCACACGATAACCAAGCTCATTGAGGTTTCTCGGGAGTTTAAGATGCCGCTCTGCTTAACGTTCATTGATTTAAAGAAGGCCTTTGATTTTGTTGAGACGGAAGCGGTCATTGAAGCCCTAGCCAATCAGGGCATTCAAGCCCAATACATCAGGATCCTCCGTGAGCTGTATTGCGGATTCACTACCAGGATCTCACCATTCTACAAAGAAGTGATTGTTGATGTCAAGAGAGGGGTGCAGCAGGGTGATACCATTTCACCGAAACTCTTCAGTGCCACCCTCGAGAACATCATGCGACGACTGGAATGGGAAGGAATGGGAGTGAAGATAGATGGTCGGCAACTACACCACCTCCGCTTTGCTGATGACATTGTTTTAATAACACCAAACATCAGCCAAGCGGCACAAATGCTGGCCGACTTTGACCGTGAGTGTGGAAAAGTAGGACTACAGCTGAATCTTACGAAGACAATGTTTATGAGAAACAGCCTCGTTCCTGACGCCCCATTCTCTCTCAATGGAACGACCATCTCCGAATGCAACAGCTATGTGTACCTAGGTCGAGAGGTCAACATGACAAATGACCTGGCACCCGAGCTGCGCAGGAGGAAGAGAGCGGCTTGGAACGCCTTCAAGAACGTCGAAGAAATAGCTAAGAGGACGAAGAACCTCCGGCTCCGGGCACATCTCTTTGATTCCACTGTTCTTCCTGCATTAACATATGCCTCAGAGACCTGGGCCCTACGCAAACAAGATGAGAACGCTATTCAGGTCTCCCAAAGAAGAATAGAAAGAGCTATGCTTGGAATATCACGTTTCACTCAAATGAGAGAACGAATCCGGAGTTCTGACATCCGTTGACGATCAAGGATCAGGGACGCTGTCTCATTTGCCAAGGTGTCGAAAATCAGATGGGCTGGTCACATAATGAGATTTAAAGATAGCCGTTGGACTAGAGCTGTTACTGATTGGATTCCACGGGATGTCAAGAGACCGCGTGGCCGCCCACCTACCAGATGGTCAGACTTCTTCGTCAAGATCATGAATGATCGGTTTGAGGCCCTTCATGTTCCCAGAGCGAACAGATGCCATTGGGCTACACTAGCACGCGACAGGGACAAATGGAGACGTTACTGGCGCCCGCTCGAGCAAATCGACGACTAACGGGAAGTTAAGTGATTAAGTGAATTCTTCCCTTATTATTTATATGTTGTTTATTTCTTTCTCCTGTCATATTGCACTGGCTATGACTTCCAGTATGAAGTTAATAGGAAAGAGATCAGATATGGAGACTAAGGCAGTGGATTTGTGCCAGTGAGAGAGCTCAAAGGGTTGAGTACAGACTGCTTTCTGGGGGCCATGATTCCTGGCTCTATGCTCAGGGATTACTCCAGGCAGGCTCAGGGAGATTGTTTAGGGTGCTGGGATTGTCCTTGGGTCTCCCTGGTGCAAGACAAGAACCCACTCTGGTGCTCCCCCTCTCTTCTTATTTTTAAAATGTATCTTCATTGAATAGATAAAAGAACATAGAAATAGGAACAGCCCAAATTTTCTATGTTTAATTTTTAAACTTTGTTATATTTTTGCAGGCTTTAATTTCTTCTGTGAAAGGAATTGTGATGTCACTACAGAGTACTGCAGAAGGCAGCCAGCCTCTTGTTGCCTTGGCCTCTGACTGTACAGCTCCAAATGCAGGCTTCAAGCCGAGGAAGCAGGATTTCTACATAAAAACAGAGCACTTTTTCACTTGGAGCCAAGAACAAGAAGCACGTAATCAATTTGCCAAGTAGGAAATATTTCATTTGTTACCTTAAATTCTACACATAATGCCTTCTTTATCCTAATTTATAATTTATTATAATTTAAAGTTGTAGCAAGTTCCGATTTCAATTACTTAGTCTTGTGGAAGTTTTGTAAGGGTCTGCATGAAAGGTCTGACCACAGAGACTTCTACAGAGACTCCTCCACCAAAGAGTTTCTGGAACAGAGGCTCCATCTCTCTCTAGATGCCTGCTCAGGACTTGAAGCAATATCTCAGAAGAAGTTGGTGAGAAAAACCTCCCACCAACATCTGCTAACCTACTACTAATGCCAACTCCCAGATGATTCCCTTGCATGCAGTTAACATGTAGACTACATGGGGTGCCAAGGAATCGAACCCATGTTAACTGCATGCAAGGGAAGTGCTCCCCTGCTTTACTACCTCTCTGGCCCCACGTACCATTTTCTCAGTGATATCTGATGACAGCAATCTTTTTTTTCCAATTTTTTATGTTATTTTAATGAATCACTGTGAGATACAGTTACAGACTTACACACTTTCATGATTATGTTTCAAACAATGTTTGTGTACCTGTCCCTCCACCAGTGCCCATTTTCCACCACCAATGTTCCCATTGTTCCTCCCACTACTCCCATCCCTTCCCACCCCTCATCTCTGGCAGACACATTCCCTATTTCTCTCTCTCTCTCTCTCTCTCTCTCTCTCTCTCTCTCTCTCTCTCTTTCTATCTCTCTCCCTCTCTCTCCTTTTGGGTGATGATAGCATTATTATTCTGTCTCTCAGACTTTTTCCTCACTGGAGGTCTGTTTTGTTGTTGCAGTTTGTTGACCAGTCTGACTATTGTCATGCTGCAGTTTACATCTGAGAGGTTATAGAACTTGGATGTTTAAGGGTCTTCCACAGTCCTCTGCTTCTTCATTTTGTCTGTTGTGCAGTGAGGGCTAGGGGTGAGGGCCTGGTTTTGTGCAGACTTGGGTAGAAATCTTGAATTCATGTTTAATAATTTCACACAGGGCTGGAGAGATAGTACTGTGGGTAGGGCACTTGTACTGCACTTGGTCAACCCGGGTTGAATCCCAGGCACTGCATATAGTCCCCTGAGCATCTCCAGGAGTGATTCCTGAGCCCATCAGGTGTGACTTAGCTCTCCTTTCCCCTATAATAATAATAATAATAGTAATAATCACTGTCACTGTCATCCTGTTGTTCGTCAATTGCCTTGAGCAGGCCCCAGTAACGTCTCCTTTGTCCTAGCCCTGAGATTTTAAAAAGTGCCACATTCGAGACTCTTTCAGGGTCAAGAGAATGAGACCCACATTGTTACTGGTTTTTGGCATATTGAATACACCACGGGGAGTTTGCCAGACTCTGCCGTGGTGAATTGCCGTGGTGTATTATAATAATATTATTATTATTAAATAATAATAATAATAATAATAATAATTCCACACTAGGGCCAAAAGATGCTACAGTGGTTATGATGCATCCAGCTAAGGAAGTGGTTTGCAGACGCTGTGGGAGGAGAGTTTTGGTCAAAGCAGGTGTGGTCTTTGAGCAATGAGATGACTTGGTGTGTTCTGACAATAGAAAAAAGAATTTGGGATGAGTAGAGACCATGCAGAGAGACCAGTCTGGATGCAGAGTGGGATGGTATGTTCAGAAATTTGGTTTTATTCCGTGGCTAATGGGGCTTTTTCCAAAATAAAACTTTTTTTTTTGGATTTTTGGGTCACACCCAGCGATGCACAGGGGTTACTCCTGGCTCTGCCCTCAGGAATTACTCCTGGCAGTGCTCAGGGGACCATATGGGAGGCTGGGGATCGAACCGGGGTTGGCTGCATGCAAGGCAAACACCCTACCCACTGTGCTATCACTTCAGTCCCTTCAAAATAAAGCTTTAAGGCTGGAGATAGAGCTCAACTTTGCATGAGCTCTTGCTTTGCATGCAGGAGATCTGATTTCCCACCATGTACTCCCCTGAGCATAGTGGGGACTGAGCCTCTAACCTGGAGTAGCCCCTGAGCTCCTCCCAGTGTGACCCAGAAACCAAATAAATAAGTAAATTAATTCATTAACTAAATTGTGTTGCGGTAACGTTGACTCCAACATTATGTGAGTCTCAGGAGTGCAGCGTTATGATCCATATGGTAACTCATGACCCACAGTGTGCATCTGTTTTCCCTCCACTTCCATGCAGTTGACCCCTTTGTTTCCCTCAACCCCTAGCCCCTTTCCTCTCTGGTGACCACCAATCTGTTCTCTATCTAAGAGGAGGTGTTGGTTTGTTTGGGGGCCTCCCAAGCTGAGCTCAGGATATCGGGGGCCCCACTAGTGGTTATCTACAGCCAGGATGATGGTTCAATGCTAAGACTTAAGGGTGCTGGGTATACTCCAGTACTGGGATTTCTGAGTGGTGCTGGGGGCCTTCCAGGGTCACATCCAGCAATGCTGTGAGAACCACACAGTGCCAGAAATCAAGCCTGAGTCAGGTCCATGCAAGATATACACAGTAACGGCTGTACTCTCTCCAAGCCCTGAAGAGGTTTTCAGAAAAAAATACTGACTTACTATTAGTTTACAGTATTAGAAACTGTGGTGGTAAGCTACACACCTTTGTAAATGTCTAAGCTTCACCATAACCCTGCCAAATGCTCAGTGACACCACACCCTTAGACATGCCTGCCCAGCGACATGGAGAGGCAGTAAAATGTGGAGTCTATCTACTTCATAGGCCTTTCGGTTCATCTGAGTAAGCTCTTAGGAGAAGCATGTCTGTCACAGGGCAGTGTATAATGATATCTCTCCAGGGTCAGCATCTACATCAGTGACTTTCTTGTCCCTTCCCAGGAATGTGCTGCTTCAGATGCTGAAATGTCAATGTCCTGTTATCTGCTTCAATGCTAAGGATTTTGTGAAGACTGTGCTGTAGTTTCTTGGTAACGATTGCAGTTGGAAGCAAGGTAAGTTAGTCTGTCACATGTCTCATTATTTATTATTTATTTTTGGATTTGAGGACAATACTCAGCTGGCTCTGGGCCCAGAAATCTCTCCTGATGATGCTGGAGGGATTCAATGCAGTACCAGTGATTGAGTGTGGGTCTGCCCCTTCAACACAGGCCCTTCCCCACTGTCCCATGTCTCTGGGCCCAGCTTGATGGCAGCTTCTGTCAACTCCCCAGGAGGGGAAGAGCTCTCAGAGGGCTGCAGTACCACCCAATTCTGGGGTCAGATTTGGACCAGACATATCTGTGAGGCCAGCACCCTAATGTGAAGGATGCATGTTCCCTTATATGGAACTATTTGAATTTTGCAAGTACAGATTATTTTTTAACTAAAAAATGGGAAAAATGTTACTTGTGAAGAATGGGCAGCTGATATTTGTCATTACCATAGAAAACAAACTTTCTAATAAACAAAGATTAGAATCAGTAACATCAAAATAATATAGAACATTTTTATCTTTCATTTAAAATAATAAGGATATGTATAGCCACTTTTATTAGATGGACATTAAGTGAGAAAGAAAATATAGTAAAAATTATAGAATCTAAGTAGTGGTATTGACTGTTTATTGTATAGTTACTTTATTGTTGGGGAGGGTTGGGACTTGAGATGGGACTTGAGCACCCTGTGATGCTCAAGGATTATTCCTGGCTCTGTACTCAAGAATTAATTACTCCTGGTGTACTCAGGGGGGCGATATGGAACCCAGGTTGGTCATGTGCAAGGCAAATGCCTTATCTGCTATAATATTGCTCTGATAATCATATCTGACCCCGCAGATCCCAGAGTCCTGCTGAGATGGGCAGTGGCCAAAGGTGGTATTGAGAGCAGCTTGCACCATCCCCTCAGTTGCTCCTGAGTTGTGTCATTTTGGGTACTGTCAGGAAAGTGTCAGCCTTGACTGCCAGGGTGGGAACCCCTGACTCATAGCCCAGTGGCCAATCATCTTAGTCAGCTGCAGCCCTGCCAAGATAAAAATGTCTATGTAGATATCATATAATAAAATCATGTTACTAGTGACTCGGTAAATAGAAATCTCTTAGACTAAAGTGAGCCATAGATGCCATGAGATATTTAAGGTGAATGATCAGCCACCACCATGCTGAGACCACTCTCCGCACACATGAAGGTACCGGCAGAGGAACAAAGGCATGCAGGTCCCGGGACTGAGATCTCCAAGCCTACTCGGATCAGGGCTGAGCATCCTCCACCCAGATCCTCCAAATTCCAGTAGGCAGGCGTCACACCCACCAACTGGCCCCCTGGCACCGTGTAATCCCATCAACGGCCAAGACTCAGAGACTATAAAACCCAGCTCCCGGAAGTGCATGGCCTCATTCGTGGCCGCGCAACATCTTATTATCTCATTCCTATTTTGGACAAACTGGCAGGCTACCGAATGTATCCTACCCACACGGCAGAGTCTGGCAAACTCCCCGTGGCGTACCCAATATGCCAAATACCAGTAACAATGATGGGTCTCATTTTCCTAACTCTGAAAGAGCCTTGAATATGGCACTTTTTAAAAAATCTCAGGGCTAGGACGAAGGAGACGTTACTGGTGCCTGCTCGAGGCAATCGATGAATAACAGGATGGTCGTGATCGTGATCGTGATCTGAAGCTACAATTTTGTTCAAAGACAAATTTCTTGCTGTCTAGCATAATTCATGAAATGGAAATAGGGACTGGATTCTTGCCTTGCACACAGGTGACCTAGGTTCAATCCTCAACACCACATGTAGTCCCACCAGAACTGTCAGTAGTGATCCCTGAGCACAGAGTCAGGAGTAAGTCCTGAGCACAATATATATATATATATATATATATATATATATATATATATAATAAAAATTTCATCACTTAGGATTCAGATTTATCTCTTAATTTATACTATACCCTTTTAGAATTCCCTCTCCAATGTCTAACATGCTGGCATTAAAATGTACTGTTTTAGCTAATATCCTCTCACTCTGAGAAAATGCTTTCACGTGTCACTGGCACTGACACCAAGTTGTCTTTCCTCCCAGTTTTCAGATGAGAAATCTGACCCTTAACAGGCCGAGTGACCTCCTGACTCCAGGGGGCCTGCTGTCAGGTGGCCCTTTCCCAGAATTATGTCACTTGGGATTGTCCTGCCACAGGACCTCTCCCCAGAGAAGCCCTTCCGCTGTCCCCCTCCCATTCAGGAGACTTTCCTGGGTGACAGTGAGCAAGTGGAGGGTGGGGTGATTCACACGTGAGTGCAGAGAGGAAGGCGTGGAGAGGAGATCAGCCAGGTGGCTGAGGGCTCTGCCTTCATCTCTTTGGGTACTGCCCTGTGCGCTTTGGGGTCTGCTTCTCCAGTGGCATTTCCATAGAGGTTGTCAGGTGGGGCCTGTGTGGAGACCACTCTTGCTACAAGCTCTAACTTTGTATTTTGTTTCATTTCTTCACTTTTCTTAGAAGGATCAAACAACCATTTTCTTTCCAGTTGCAAAGTTTGTGGGACTGGACCCCAGAATTGCCTTCTGGCTGCTAGATCATAGTGACACTGCACCTTCTTTCAAAGAGTTAGTAGGGAAATACTTGGAAAGCGTGACCACAGTGAATGTGAGCAGCACCTATAGAAACTCATCAAGAAATACTGTGGTCAGTTGCTTGAAGGAAAGGTGGTATCAACCTCCATATAACACCGATTTTCTGTAGAAACTGCCTATTTCATTTTCACTCTGTTGGGGAAAGATCAGCACACATCTCTGCCCTGGTGTTTCTGGGAGGAAACTGGGCAGAACAGGCCACATCTGTCCCTCTGTGAAGCTGTTCCTGGGGAATCCCACTCAGCCTGGTCCCTCTGCATGAAGTAGGGGAAAGTGGGAGCACCTGTTTGTAGAGATTTGGTGCTGGGAACATGGCTGCTGGGACAGAGGGCTGGTGTGGGAGCATTGTTGCAGCCACACAAGTGAGCTCTACTCCAGTTACCTACATCACTGGGGGGCTGTACTGGAACCTACCAGAGCACAGCAATGGGAGCCTCGCCCTGGCCCTCCAGAGGTCCCAGGAGGCAAACTGTTTGTCCATATCTGCTGCCGGGGAACGTTTCATGAGGAGGGTGCAGAGTGCTCAGAAATAGTGGGCATGGTTGTGGGGACTGAGCGCCTGCTCCATGTGGGGGTGCTTAGCAGTCGCCAGGGAGTTGTAAATGTATTGTACTGAATCAATTGATTTTAAATTATTATTTTTGATGTTTTAGATCACATGTTTACAGTAGTGTTAACATTTGTGATTTTTATGTACACCACTTCCTCACCTCATCAACACCAAAGTGTCAAAGTCCCTCTGCCAGTGTCCCCCTGTTCCTTCCTTCTTTCTCTGCCCCCACTCAGTTTTGTAATCAAAGAACAAGGCCTTGTCAATGTTCATAGTGTCTCTCTCCATTTTTCGTTTCTCTATGCCATAAATATGTGAAGTCATCAGGTATTTGTCCTTCTACCACTGACTGACTTATTCTACTTGTATGATACCTTTCAGTTCCAACCAAGTTGCAGCAAACTGCATTATTTCATCTTTTCTTTTCTTTTTTTTTTTATAATGTAGGAGTTCTGTTATTTATTCAGCCATTGATTAAGCTGATTGATTGAATTGGGCATGAACTCCACATTACTTTTTTTTTCAGAATGTTAATTTTATTTTATTATCTTATTATTATCCGCCCCCTTTTTTGATTCATCGTGAGATATAGTTACAAAGATTTCATGTTTGAAATCATCAAACACTCATCTCTTCACCAGTGCACATTTTCCACCACCAAAATCCCCAGTATTCCCCCACCCCACCCCCATTCCAGTCCTTCCCCTGCCTATGTGGCAGACAATTTCCCCCATACTCTCTCTCTATTTTGGTTACATTCGATATTTCGACACCAGTCCCACCACCACTCAAACCTGCGGAAAAGGCAATGCTAGATGATTTGTTTTGTATTGCTTATAGATAGAATATAATGTCCAGGAAATTCTGTGTCTTTCTCTTCTGGGAACTTTAGTTTATAGTCTTTGGTTCTTGGCCATTGATGAGATTACATGGTGCCAGGTGCAGTTTGTGGGTGTGACTGCCAAGCTACTGGAAAACTGGGGACTTGTGGGGAGGAGGCTCAGTCCCGATCCAAGTGGGCTTGGAGATCCCAGTCACGGTTTCCCGCATACCTGGGTTTTCCTGCCAATCCACTCTTGGGTGAGGTTCATCCCGTCTTGGGTGAAGCTCGTCCCCTCTTGGGTGAGGCTCGTACAAGCGTGTGGAGAGTGGCTTTATTTCATCTTTTTCTATGATTGATAATACTCCACTGTGCATGCATACAACTTCTTTACCCATTAATCTGTTGTTGGACATTTGAGTTGTTTCCCTACCCTGGCTAGTGAACATAAATGTGTGAATGTCTTTTCAAATTGATGATTTTTGTGGCTGAGAGTAGATGCGAAGAAATGGAGTCACTGGGTCCTATGGAAGTCCTAGTCTTACTATTTGAGAAATCTCCATACTGCTTTCCATAGAGGCTGAAGCAGATGATATTCTCAGCAATGATGAATGAGGGCTCCTTTTACCACATCCTCACCAACACTGCTAGTTTCTGGTCTTTCTGACATAAACCATTTTTAACTGGTGTGAGGTGATAATCTTTTTTTGTCATTTTGCATTTCCCTGATAAAAAATGACAAGGATTGCTTTTTCCTATGCCTATTGGCCATTCTTATGTCATTTCTGGTAAAGTACCTATTCACCATCTCTACCATGGATGGGATTATTGGTTTTATTGTTGTTGTGCTTTGTGAGTGCTTTATAAATATTTCACTCTCTCCAAGTGAAAAAAGAGATTTTTCAGAGGGATATGAGATGGCTCACAGATTCAAAGGACAAGCAGAGTCAGAGCTTGGCAGGCAGGAGCCGGAAGACTCTGGGGATCCGAGGAGCAGGAACCACTGAGCTGTCGAACTCTTAACTGTGTGCACTTTTTGTCCTGAATTCAGGGCTTCAGTGCCGAGAGCCTCATTGCCTCTCTGCCTCTGATGTCGGCTCATTAACGGGGCAGAGGGTTGTCAGTCCTGCCCACGTGCCGTGTGCTTCAGGGAGTGTTCCCCAGGGGATGCTGACGTGATCACTGTAAGGGGAGCTGTGCACGTCAGTGTTAGTGTTCGGGCTTCTGTGACACCAAGTACACAGGGTTGATAGAACTTTTCCATGCTTCAAAGCTTGGATTGCTGCCTCCACCATCTACATTCTTCCTCACGTCCATGTGTAGGAAGGAGCAGGCCTGGGAGTGGCACAGTGGCTGCAGAGCTATGCTTTCTCCTCAATAAGGGAGGCACCGTGTGCCTGTCCCAGCAGGGAGCTTCACCTCAGGCAGAAGAGACACATCCTGGGATGCCCCAGAGGTTCTGGGGAGGGAGTCCAGGTCAGGTGTGACAGGAAGCCTCCCAGGAGAGAGAGTTGTGTGGAAGCAGAAGACTCCTGGAGAAGAGGGGTAATTTCAACAGCGATGGTAACAGACACATGCATGGTGAGAAGAAGACAATGGGAAGAGGAACTTCCTCCTGGCCTGGGGAAGCTTTGAGAACTCGTTATGGGCATCACAGAGTCAGCTTTGTCCTTAGTGCATTTCCCCAGTGTGTAGTACTCAGCCAGGCAGTAAGCCAACCCTTCCCAGGAGTGGGAATGTCTAGGAGTCACAATGTGGGCACTAAGAAGGGCCACACAACACTTCCCTCTGACAGGGCATGTGACTAGAAGTCTGATACTGCCCTGGAGGTGAATGGTTGCGTCAGCCAGGTCACTGACAGGCAGGCTCCGGGTCCAGGCAGTCAGCCCGAGTGCCTCACACCCCTCTCTGCTGAGACAGACCCTGTACAGACCCTCCTGGGGCATCTGTGGACAGAAGCGTCAGGTAGGCAGCTGATCCTCTACCACCTGTCCTCCCTCATGTGCACTTGTGGCTTAGTCCTGTGGATGAAGAGAACAGGTGGTCAAGGAAGTGTCAGACATGCATCGCTGGCTTTTGCTTCTTGAGGCCATTCCAGATGTGTTCCCTCAAGGTGACTGGTGAGCCACTGGGCAGTACATTCCCCAGGACAGACTATAAGCTCATTAGTAAACACTCTGGGATCTGCGTCACCTCTGCATCGTGATGAGAACTGCTACCAGGTCTACTAAACCCTTTACATCTCCATCTGTTCCAGAATCAGAACATCTGTGCCAACATGAGGGTCCTCCATAGCCTGATCATGCTCCTTTGTTCTCAGCTGAAGGCAAGATGTTTCCCTGACTCAGTCCCTCCTGCTTTCTGCTGTTATTCGCACCATGTTCAGTGCCTGGGAGGGAAGACGCGCTGAGTGCTAAGGCCAAGTCCACTCAGAAAAGCTAGTCCCAGTGACCTAAAGCTTGAAAATGCCTAAAATGCCTCTGTAGGTTCACAACTGTAAGGTTTCCTGAAAACCTTCTGTTAAATTCGAATTTTCCTCATGCTGTGGTTAGCATAAAGCCAGGAGTTAACTGTAGTTAAAAGTGAAATGGGAAGGACGGGGCAGCTGGAGCAGTAGTACAGTGGGTAGGGCGTTTACCTTGCATGCAGCCGACCTGGGTTGGATCCCCAGCATCCATATGGTCCTCTGAGCAGCGCTAGGGGTAATTCCCAAGTGCAAAGCTGGGAGTAGCCTCTGAGCTTGCCAGGTGTGACCCAAAAAGCAGGAAAAAACTGAAATGGGGGTGGGGTGGGCAAAGCAATGAAATGACAGGGTAGGGCGCTTGCCTTGCATGCGGCTGACCCGTGGTTCAATCCCCGGCATTACATATGGTCTCCCTGAACCCCGCCAGTAATGATTCTTGAATGTAGAGTCTGGAGCACCATTGGGTGTGGCCCCAAAACAAAAGAGTGAAGTGGACAGAGCTCCCCTGAATCACGGGGAACACAGAGCTACTCAGAGCAGCATCTGGCAAGAGTTGGTGATGGGCTCTGTGAACTGAGGGCAGAAGAGGGGTGGAGATAGTCTGGGTAAGTGCTTACCATGTTTCCCACCCCTGGCTGGAGGGAGGAGCAGGACCCTGGGGAGCAGTGAGCCCCCAGAGGTGTGTGGAGACTGGAGGGAGTCCCCTTCCCTCTTCCCTGCACCTCTCTTAGTGTGCAGAGAAGATGCCCAGGTGATGTAGCCTGGGCAGGGAATGGACACAGAGGGAGAGTAGAAGGGTCTGGGAAGGGGGTGGCAGCTGGAGGGACAGAGTGTGAGGGGGCCTAAGCACGAGGAGCCTGGACAAGTGATGGGTGTGCGATCTTGGAGCCACCCTGGGCTCCTGAAACCATTTGAAACAATGTCAGTTCTTGCATTTGGGGGCAACTGGGAATCCTGCTCCGAAGCTTAAAATGAATGAAAGTCCACAAGTACCCAGGTCATACTAAAATCAGATAAAAATTTCAAGAGGTTGGAGTGGGACTTATCCTACCATATATTTCTAAATAACTCTGCAGGGTTTGATGACAGAGTCGAGTATGGAAAGAAATAGGGATTCTCATAGGAAGAAGACGGGGGTGGGGGGAGTGGGAACTGGAAGATCAACAGCCGGGCACTCTAGGGCTAGTTCAGCACCAGCAGGAGGAGAACCCCCAACTGTGGCTGATGGCATTTCTTCCTGGGAATTAGGCTCATGATTTGTGGAAGCTGTTCTGTACTTTGGAGCCTCCATTGATACCAATATTGGCAGATAAGTCGCATAAAGATGGCATTGAGTCATGTTTCTAGAGAATTTTCTAGAGAATTGGCATCGTTTGGGAATGACTGTCTTTTTTTGGGAGGGTTGAGTAGTGTATGGATTGACATGAGGGAGCAAGCAAGACCTTTATTTTTTCCCCCTTTGTGTAACAAGAGGGCATTGCCCTTGTTCCAAAAGGACTGGGAGATCCTGACACATTGTCACACGTGATCTTTCTATACTGCTGACTTTCTGCTTGGTGCTCACACTCCGGAGGTTGTCACTGTCAGCATCTGTCCTGTGACTCCTCTCTGCTCTGTGAGGCCCTCCATGCAAGAACCGGGACTGAGTTCTCTTGGTCCTGTGGCACCTCAGAGAGCACAGCGCCATGGAGCTGTTGGGGGGCGCTGCACCCCTCTGGGAAGGACCACACGGCCTTATGGGAGAGCAGGCCTCTGGCCCTGCCCGTGGGTCTTGTGGCTATGACTCGCTGGTGCAGGGCATGTCCCCTTTGGTTTTGAATCCAGTGATGGAAAGCCACAGCATCCAGGTGAACAAAGAAGAGATGGAGAGGACTTCGGTGCTGCTGGGGATATGTCACTACTCTGTCTTCACGTGGTCAGTGCTCCCTGTGCTGGATGAGGCCCACTTCTCTTTTCTTTTCTTCTTCTTTTTAATGTAGGAGTAATGCTATTTATTCAGCCACTGATTAGGCTGATTGAATTGGGCATGAACTCCACCTTACTTTTTTCCCCCCATTTTTTATAATTTTATTTATTGAATCACCATGAGAGCAGTTACAAAGCTTTTGGGTTTAAGTCTCGGTCATACAATGAAACACCTGTACCTTCACCAGTGCCCATTCTCCACTACCAAAACCCCCAGTATACCCCCATCCCACACCCTCCCCCTACCTGTGGGGCAGATGATTTCCACATTACTCTCTCTCTACTTTGATTAAATTCAATATTTCAACACCAGACCCACCATTATTATTTGAGATTTTACCCCAACACTCAGATCTGCCAAAAAGGTAACCGTAGACAATTTGTTTTCTATTGCTGTTTATGAATAACATATGATACCTCGTGGCTGCAGTAGTGGCCACGTGATTTTGAAATTCCGAAATTTTAACAAATCTGGAGGGATTTCTTGATAAAAGCTTCTGGGTTCCAAGATTTGTTCCTGAATCTCTGGGATCATGGCCATTAAGCAGCTTAATCAGGAGCCAGAGAGGCTGTTCGTGAGCGGCGACTCGGGGTCTTGTTGGGACAGGGAGGAAAGGGCCAGCTCCACCCTCATCCCATGAGGCCCTGCATGTCTCGTCACTACGGGCCCAAACCTGACTGTCCAGTGGCTTCTGGAGGATGGTGGCCACTGGGCCGCCAGGGGAACAGATCAAGGCACAAAACCTATTCCCTCTTGGGGTGGCCCATTGCTGGTAACCTACTGCAGGGACCAGACATATTTCTGCCAAAAGTTGCTGGGTTCCGAGATTTGTTTCTGAGTTTCTGGGATGATGGCCATTAAGCAACTTGAGCAGGAGCCAGAGAGGACATTCATGGGTGGTGACTTGGGGTCTCATTGGGATGGGGAGGAAAGGGCCGGCTCCACCCCCATCCCATGAGGCCCTGCGTGTCTGTCACTGCAGGCCCAAACCTGACTGTCCAATGGCCCCTGGTGGATGGCGGCCACCAAGCCACCAAGGGTGAGCAGGTGGAGAGACAGCACCCTTTCCCCCCTGGGGTGGCCCAGCGTCAGTAACCTACTGCAGTGACAGACGCATTTCTGCCAAAAGCCGTTGGATTTCGAGATTTGTTTCTGAGTCTCTGGGATCATGGCCGTTAAGCAGTTCAATCAGGAACTAGAGAGGCCATGCTTCCAATTATATAGCTGAGCCAGAGGTGGTTAGTGTGTGTGTCTCTCACATACGTAACCTTTGGCCGTTTACCTTTTTTTTTTTTTTTTTTTTTTTTGCTTTTTGGGTCACACCTGGCAATGCACAGGGCTTACTCCTGGCTCTGCACTCAGGAGTTACTCCTGGCGGTGCTCAGGGGACCATATGGGATGCTGGGAATCGAACCTGGGTTGGCCGTGTGCAAGGCAAACGCCCTACCCGCTGTGCTATCTCTCCAGCCCTGGCCGTTTACTTTTTTGGTAAACTTTGCCCCAAGTTTTTGGGATCTGGCCAAAGGCACAGCAGCAATTTTGGGGTATCTGGAAGTCTGAAGGTGCCATGAGGCTGCTGTTGTACTCGCCTCACAGGTACAGATTGATCTGCTGGCAGCACCATACTCCCCCCTTCCCTTTTCTTCCGACTCCTGTCTCCCCCCCACCCCGCCCCCAGCTGCCCTCTCTGTTCACCACTGTGTGTGCCACTGGGTTCTGTGTATTCTTAGTCATTCCCAGAAGCTAATTCTGTCTTGTTTTTGTTGGGCCACACCTCGCAGTTCTCAGGGCTTACTCCTGGCTCTGAACTTAGGATCACTCCTGGTGGGGCTCAGGGGCCATATGGGGAGTCAGAGAGTGGCCCTGGGCAAGAAGTGCAAGTAGGCACCCAGCCCTCTGTAATATTACTCTGACCCCCATAAAAACTTGTTCTTGCATGGGCATTATCCCCTACAGTCTGGTGGAGAGAATTAATGCAGTTCTTGGGTTTCTTGTAAAAGCTCAACAGGGTCCTAGCGATAGCTTAGGTGGCCTCAAGTTAGACCCCTGCCTCCACATGCACCCTTCCCTCTAGCTTCTCAGCCAGAAGTGGCCCCTATGTATTAAAAGTAGCAAGAACAAAGGTCTAATTGAAAAATATTTAAAATTAAAGACCCGGAAGCGATAGCACAGTGGTAGGGCATTCGCCTTACAAGCGGTCAACATGGCCGACCCGAGTTCGATTCCTCCGCCCCTCTCGGAGAGCCCGGCAAGCTACCGAGAGTATTTGATATGCCAAACACAGTAACAACAAAGTCTCCAATGGAGACGTTACTGGGCCCACTTGAGCAAATCGACGATCAACGGGAGGGCCTTTACCTTTACCTTACCTTTAAAGACCCGGGAATGTAAGATAGTGATGAGGGAAGGGACTGGGGGTGTTTATCCACAACTAAACCTAATTAAATAAGCACACGGGTACACAAAGATGCAGGGAAACAAGAATTAAAGTGTTCCACTTAAGTTCTTGGGGAGGAAACCGCAGGGATACTGGCCCAGGGTTTCTAGCAGCCTTTGCCTAGGAACCCTCCTTATGCCAGGAATAAACTTCATTCCAACAGCATTGAGTGTCCCTTGAGTGTTGAATCCTCTAGCTGGCCCTCCTTTTGAGTGACAAGTCTGCCAACGCTCTCCTGCTAGGCACAGGCCCTCTGCAGTCTCTAGAGCTCGGCCGCAGTCTGTTGCTGTTCCTGACAGCCTGCGTCCATCCCTAGCATGTGTCCCTGCAAGTCCTCCCAGTCCTGGCTACAGTTGACTCTAAAGTGTAACATTTTGATGAGAACAAATGGTATCTGATTAGGACAGGTTTCTGTTTTCCTGCTTACCCGTGAGATTGAACAACTTTTTCTGTGGTCTGGTAAAGAATCTGCTTACTCTTACCCATTTCCTGGTGTTGTGTTGTTGGA